TTATTAAAAGTGGAGTTATTTTCAACAATGATACAATCTATATTCTATAATGTTACACATTATAGATGTTATGATTTTATATTTAGATAATAAAGTGACCGTCACCATCTATCACCACAAGCACTAACTTTACACCACAAGTGCTATTACTACCACCATTATTGCCACCACGGCAATCATAACCGCCCCCATTGCCACCACAACCACAGTCACCATCACCATCACTATTGTCACGACTATTGTTGATGCCACCATCATCACGACGACCACCATCGTCACGACAACCACCACCATAGGCACAACCGCTGCTACTATCACTATGGCCGCCCCTACCACCATTGTTACCTCTACATCCCAAGCACCACACCCCACCATCATTATCATTGCTACCACACCATTACCACTTCATTTTTGTTATTATATACAATTATCTTATTTTTGCACTAAAATTTAGTAAATACTTTCATATTACTTTTCATACTTACAGTAAATTTAAAAATACAGTTTGTTAAATACTCAATTGCTTATTTTATAGCTTATTATCCTTAAAAAAACAGCAACACAGTTAAAAAAAAAAAAAAAAAAAAAAAAAAAAACCAAAACAATTCTAAACTGGCCGTAAGTATTTCCGGCGCATTAAGTCACATTTTATCGGTTAACCAAACAAAAATATCAGTTTGTAATGTTTTTGTTTAGATAAGGAAATGTTACTTGAACAACAAAACAAGTAGAAGCTTGGGTTTAATTGGAGCGTACATAAATGGATTGAATGTCCAATAATTATTAGAGTTTGGTGAAGGAACATGTTTGAAAAAATTGAAACACCCTTGAGGTGTAAGTCCAAAAATATCCAAGTTTTTAGTTGGAGTCGTTTGCAGTTTGTATTTTGCCTACGGTAATGAGAGCACTGTAAATTTGCTCATAACAAGTTAGAATACTCTACGAAGAAAATTTAATTTGTTCGCTATACAATTATTGATATAGTAAGAGCTTACATAAGATGCAATTTTACCACGGCAAGGCAGCTGTCTACCCAAAAAAAAAATGGGTGAAACTCCTAAAAATCAGAAGGAAAAAAAAAAAAAATGAAATATACGAAATCACAAACGACAACTAAATATGAATTGAGACATTTAATTTTAATTAGTGAGAGCATCTCTATTACAATTTGTCCTGGAAATTAGAGTATTTTAATTCTCAGAGGCTTAAAATGATAAAGTGTCCCTGGAAGGGAAAACGTTAACTTCGGCTAACCTTTTGGGTTGTGACTCTTGTGACCCATCAAATTTGCATACTCTTAGTACTCGATAACACGAACGTATGGACACAAGCGCAACCACATTTGAAGTTACAATGAAAATTCCACGTAACTATGAACTTCGAGAGTATTTTCATAATTTACTATCTTCTAGATATTTTGTAAACATTATTTTATTCTATTTGAATTTTGGATCCTATGGGATCCACTCCTTTCTTGTCTCTCTATCTTCCTCACCCTGAACACCCTCTCTCTTTCCTCTTGATTTCTCTCTCTTTTCCTCTTTCCTTCTTCTTTTCCAATTCAAACCGGTCTAACCTGACCGACCCAACAAGAGACACATTTTTTAATCTGGGTCGGAATATTTTCAATAGCTTCTTCTTAGATACTAATGTAATATTTTATCTAGCGACGAAATTTTCTCTTTTGATGATGGAATGGTGACAGAATATTCTATTGTTGGTGACCATCACCATCACCAGCGCATGATGGTAAGTCTCAGCACATGGGGGTGCGTGAGTGGGCGCACGGTGGACTAGGAGGGCTCACGGTGGCGATCATGGTTTTTGGACTCCGATTTTGGTGTTTGAGCACCGCATTTCAATATTCTTTGTACTATTCAATTAGTTCACTAAGTTTGGGGTATTTCTACTTTAAGATTGTTTTCCGAGGATTAAAAAGAGCGTAAGAGGTGCGACAACTACGCTCTAAGGTGTGTCTTCCTAAAACTATATTTTATTATATGTTTCGAAAATGGTTTCATGATGTGCTTTCATATCATGTTTTGCTTTGCTTTTACTTAGCTTCTGAAATCGTTTTGTGTGATCTTGATGGTTGTGATTTATATACTTCGTGAAACTTTATATACTTCGTGAATCTTTCTTTGGAAAGTTTTACCATTGTAGTACTTATGCGATATTAGGGTTTTTGATACTTTGATTGAGATATTAAGTTATTAACCATAACATATTTTTATATGATTTATCTTGCTTATCATGTATGATTACAATGTGTATACTATACTTCACTGTATGTTCACATCCGACATTATGTTCGCATTGGATTCAGTGTAGGTGTCAACCTATCCTTAGATTGCATGGGCAACTAGGACTCAGGTGAGCACTTTGCGCCGACTTCACGGGTATGTAGTACTAGAGTGTAAATCTTATACACTTAGCCTATTTCATATCTGAATATCTCTACATGAGCTTATGTGTATGCATTGTCTGATGAGCATACCCTATCTGTTTATTTGATGATCGATGATTTGTCTGCTTATTTTGATTTTCAACTTTTCACTAATGCCAGGTATTATTTTATTATCATATTACGGTTTCACAATTAGATACTTTGCAATTGTGATTTCTACTTGTTGGATTCTTCAAAATGATTTTATAATGAGAATTACTTGTTTTCCATGTCCTTTCGGATTTAATGCTTATTCTCTATTGCCTCGGTTTTTCATATTTACAACTATGATTTCGAAAGCTATACGGGTTTTTATATCGAGAGGTTAGTACTTTACAAAAAGCAAAGGTTTTACTAAATTTTTATTTTGTCCACTTACATCTTTTGTTTTGCGCCCTCTAGGATTTAGTAGGCTTCGAAGATCTTGACGCCGTGACGTGGTGGCATATTCTTCCCTCATCAGTGTCGGGATTTCTTAGTAAGTTTGTAATAATTGCCTTCAGGTGTGCTACATTTTTTTACTTCCACTATGTATTTAATTAGATGCTTTAGTTCAACACACTCTCTGCGCACTCTACTATCACAAATTTATTTTATACTCTCCACTTTCTTTAATTTTCTTTTCATCTTACACTTCACTTTCACTTTATAATTTCATCATTTTGAGTGTCGGCCAAAAGGCTTCAGTTCAGGTATCCACTTGTTTATTTGAGTCATTTTGAGTATCCACTTGAATTATCCGAGTCAGTGTGTGTCAATCTCCAACCGATAATGGCATAAGACACATGAAATGCCAAATATGAGTAAAAGGCAACAAACTTTCTTCAAACTGATATGCTTAATGACATGGAAATTGACTCCTTTTGTTCAATCAATTTTTTTACGGATTTGGATCCTCTCCTGAGTAGAGGGTCTAAAACTTGATGACCAGGCAACATGGACCATTTGATCAAGATCTAACAGCTACAAACAAGAGGTCTTCTAAAAATTATAATAATTGTAGCCGTTGAATTTTGATCCAACGGTCCATGTTGCTTGGTCAGCAAAATTCGTACCCTGCTCAGGAGAGGATCCAAACCCATTTTTAAGAACAACAAAACTTGTGTGGTAAGCAACATATGCCACGTCTGTAAAGTAGACCTAATAGACATTAAATGCAAGATTGGATGTCTCCCCCGTAAATCTCACCCAAGAGAGGCAACAACATATGCTAGACCATCGTGCTTTCTATGCCTCATGTGATGGATTCACGATAATCAAGGTGTTGGGCTTTCACACTCAGGGGAGTAGGTTAGGTCTAGCAAACGAATCGTGTTTGTTATATTCATGTCGTTTTTATGTAACACATGTTATTTTAACAGGTGGTGTCGTGTCACATCTATTATCTGGACATTTTCTTAACAGGTCGGGTCATTTTACCTACCAAACCTGTTAAGAATTTTTTTTTCTCTTTCTAAATTTGCACATATTACATTGCCATATAAATATTACTTCGAAAACTAATTCAAAACAAAAAACCCCAATTTTCACAAACCCTAGAAACGAAAAACCGCAAATTGAAGAAACGAAACCAATCTTAATTCGAAAACTAATTTGAAGCAAAACCCTATATTTTGAGAGTAAATCGAAAGAATCAACAATTACCTTGATTAGGCCTCGAGATTTGCTCTACCCAGAGAGAGAGATTCAGAGACAAAAGTAACCGATCGACTGGTGGTGGGTTACTAGGTCATATGTGGTGGAGGGAGGCTGGAGAGAGAGATCGTGGACTTAAGGCTAGTCGGAGTTGAGGTTCGAGATTGAGATTTGAGAGTTCAGTTCAAGAGAGAGCGCGGCTACTTCAATTTGAGAATGAGAGAGAGTCTTATATAGGGTTGAGAAAAACTTTGGACGATCGAAATTAAATCTCAGCCGGTCCAACAGTCATCAATTTTTTAAATTTAATTTATAGATAGATAGATAGATATATATATATATATATATTAACTTTCAGTTCAATTAGGGGTTAAATCCAACTGTTGTCCATTATAATATTTCTTTTTAGTGGTATAAAATTATTTAATTAATATTTTTCTTATCGTGTAATGGGTTATCCGCGTCTATACTTGGACCGTCCCGTTATCTTAACATGTGTTTATCGGGTTACTCAATAACGACCCGATTTGTTATCATATCAATCTGAAAACCTGTTAATTTCGTGTCCTGTCATATTGGATTAACTAGTCGTGTCAGAAATTATCAAGTCTAGAGTAGATGGGCTCAACAAGCTAAGTAGATAAGGTTAGCCTAGAAGAGTCTGCTAGGGTAAGATCCAACAAAATCTTCAAGAGATAATGATCCTTATAATCATACCCCACACATTGGCAATGATCATTGATGCTATCAAAATACATCCCTAAACAGGACTCTAGATTAATTTCCATCATTACGTCCCTCATAATCAACTGTTGTCTAAATGGGTCAGATTGCGTGGGGTCCAAACTAACCACTTAGAAACTGTCACACTTCCCTCTGTTACTCTTATCCGAAAGTTTTACAGATTTCATATTTGGAACCCAAATCATCTTTAAATTTTGTAAAGGCCAATAGCGAAACCCCCGTATATTCCTAAAATTCACATTTCCCTCCTCAAACTCCGAAACCTTCGTCTTCGTCTTCGTCTTCTTCTTCTTCTTCTTTCCCACAACTACAACAACTACACAAAGCACAGAAAACCCATTAATTTCTCACAAGATGCTCAAAGCCGTAGGTAATTTCTGAATCCAATTTCCTATCCCTCTCAGAAAACCCACATCAATTCATCTCCTAAGTTCATTTCTCTGTCATAATCCTAATCGATTAATCAAATCTTGATTGCAGGTCTCTTTGGCCGGAAGAAAAGCGGCAGCAGCGGCGGCAACCGCCATTTCAAAGACTTCTACGCCGACTGGTTCAACACACTCAATACCACGCTCCTCCCTTCGCTTCAGAACTCGATGTCCGAGTCCGACTCGTCCCTGACTCACCTCTCCACTCAGGTCGAAACCCTCCATCGCCACTTCCAATCCTACTACGACGCCCTCGACCTCGCCGCCGCAAACGACGTCGCTCAGCTCCTTTACCCCGACTGGCGAAACCCTCTCGAGAAGCCCTTCCTCTTCCTCGGCGACCTCCACCCCTACCTCTTCACCAACCTCCTCCGCTTTTTCCTCAAACAAAACGACTCCGAGGACGATGAAGAGTACGACAACGACAGCCTCACCGTTCAATTCGCCGACGCCCAAGACAGAGACAGGGACCAACTCGAAGTCCTCTTCGACCGCCCGTGGCACATCGCGACGGCGTGGAGGAGCCCGTCGTACGATCTGATGGGCAAGCTCGAGCAGGTCGAGCGCGGGCTGAGGCTGATGGTGCCGGCGCTGGTGGCGCGCGCGAGGGACGCTCAGGCCGGGTTCTTGGAGCACGTGGGGAGGAATTGGGATTATGGTAGCGGTCTGCAGAAGGCCGCGGTGGCGGAAGCTATGGCGGAGCAGAATGAGGAGATGGTGGGGGTTTTTGTGGATGCGAATCGGCTGAGAAGGAGCGTTCTTGTGGAGATCCTTGGCGCCACCAGCGTGTTTCAGGCGGCTCTGTTTCTTGAAGGGTTGGCCCAATTTCTTGTTGGGTTCAGAGACCCTGAGTTACTTGCTCAGTTTGATCTCTGCAAAACGCCTCTCGGGAAGCAGAATCGCTTGGCGATTTGATATGGGTTCATCTTTTTCAAGGTTATGATCATCTTAAATTTGTTAATTTGGAAATGAAGTTCACATCAGATTCATTTCATGCTTACTGTGTGCTGGTATGAACTTAATTTGCAACTTTTCAAGGGGGAGTAGAGAAATTGCAGGTAAATATCATCCAGTGAGTGAGTTTGTAAAGTTTGCTCTTTTGCATTTGTTAAGGTACAATTTTTCATGTAATCTGATTTCGCATCGAAGATGTTAAGATAGAAGCTTGGTGAATCAATGTTGTTGTTGTCTTTTGATATCTTTGCAACACCAGCCAGAGATTATTGATCAGAAAACTTTGTGCTAAAAAATGGATGTTGGTTGTGAACTGATTTGTCCATTTATGCGGAATAGGGTTTAGGGTTTAACGTGGAAAATTTGGAAAAATAGCCAAACTTTGATCCATGAACAGAATTTTAGCCAATCATTATAATGTACCCTAATTGGGTAAATTACACAAAACTACCTTAACTATAGGTCGCACCACAATCTCATACCTCATCTTTTAAACATTACAATGTCATACATCGTCTTATGAATTCATTGGAAAGACTCATGTTAACTTTTATGTTATTTTTTTATCAAATGCTAAGTGGCAGACAAGAAGCCCACTCCTTGCCTAATTGAATTAAATAAAAATAAACTAATAATTTTTTATCTAAACAAAATTTAAATGAAGAGTGGGGAGGGAAGAGAAGAGTGGGGGGATTGTTGTTCGATTCATAGTTGTGGTAGTGCTGTGAATTACCTTAATTTATTTGTAATTCTAACCAAAACTTGACATAAAAATATTTAAAATGTCCTTGTTGACTGAAAATTGCCAACATAAAATTTCAACCCAATTTCTGCAAAACTCTTAAGAACTGATATTCAGACTCAATTGAACTCATTGCAATCAATTTCGAATCAAAATTCGAAGCCGCAAGATTTCATATAATTTTCTGACAAATTTTCTTGGGAAACAAACAAAAGGATGAATGAATGAGAAAGAGTTCCAAAACGCAGCGGTGCTAAGAAGCGGCCAAGAATCTCAAGGGGAGAAGAAGAAGAAGGTGACGCTTTACCTCGTCTTCTTCCACCGTACCATCCTTTTCTGTTCTTCGCTTTCAGTGCTTGCGATTAACTCCTCGCCGTCGCTACAAATTTAGGAAGTGTGAATTCAGGGAAGCTAAGAAGAAATGGCTGCAGTGGCAATCAATTGCAGACAAGGTTGAGAAATCGAATTTGAATTCTTTGATTCTCCTGACAAGATAGTCAGGTATTACGATTTTCAGTTTAGAACGGTTGTGTAGAGAAATTAGGACTCAATCGGGCGATGGAGGATTTAATATTTAGTTGGTCCAATTTGGAGGTGCTTGGACCCAATTTTACACTATCGACTGGTGCAATTAAGGCCGTTGATGAACATAGCTCTCAACCGTTGGATGGCAAACTAGTTAAGATAATTATTATCGAAGGATATATTGGGGTTTTAACCATGATATTATCTTTTAATAATATATCAATTGATCTAGACTAAATATGATTAATATCCTGGCGTTTGTTTGGAAATGGGTTTCTCTGCATGGGATAATATTAAAGAAGAATGGTTATATTATAACCAATGGTCAGGAAAAGAATTGCAATTCATTTGGAATTCTCTAGTCGACACATGCATAGACGTGGAGGGCTGGAATATGTGATCGAGTCGGTTTTTTGAAAATGCATGATTGCACCTGGACAAATTTGGTGGAAAGATTAAGAGTTAAATTTGCATTCAAATTACTAGAGGCAATGCCCCCTTTATTGCCGAGTCCTGCAAGAATGCATGGCTAGGGGATAAACTTGCATGCTGATTATTTGCATGCCTTAGTTCTAGTATTGTGGAGGTCATCAGATAGGCTGTTGCATGCTAATTATTTGCATGAAATAAGGAGATAATGATGGCATCTAAAAGATAGGCTATTGCTTACCTTGAGAAGTCTTTAACTGGGACCCTAGCTGACGAGTTTGAATTGAAATCAAATCCTACACTAGTGTGAAGCCGCACCACATAACATTTGCTTCTATAAATCCAGTGTCGCAGACAACATTCAGGACCCCCTCCCATTCAACACACAAACTGTCCTGCGCAAACTCTCGCTCTACTCGAAACCTCTCAACAACCTTGAAAATTTTTTTCCACCAACACATCTTCAATTTGGATAAATAGCACTGTGAAGGCAATCGGGGAACATCTTCAGTTTGGATAAACAACACAATTATCGTAGAATCAGCCGATCGTGGAGCACCTTCAATTTGGATAAACAGCATTGCATCAAGGCCGACTGGTTATCTATCCAAGTCTCGGTCGAGAAGGATTTTCGAATCCTTATTGGCAGAGGTCATCTCATTAGCCTTCTCGGCAAAGTGAGGTGTTACAGGTTACTATATTTGGCACATTGAAAGTCGAATTTGATTTTGAACTTCGCAAAATTATCAGCCTTGTCTTCAGGCTCTAGACTTGAAGGCCGAGACGTGTTCCTTCCTCGGCCGCAGTTACAAGATCAAGAAATCAGCAGCGTGCCCAACATGACATCAACACATTTTACTCCTCGGCCGACGAGTTGGCACGCCCCGCACACAACCGAATGACATAGTTAACTTATTAATTGCTTGGCCTGCGCACCACGTAGGTTTGGTAGTTTTTAGGGTCAACAGAAGGTTTTGGAGCTTCGAAGCTTCACTAACCTCGATGATCGTTGGAAGATCTGTAGCAAAAGCATTAAAAAGCTAGCCATATGATCGTGGAATCAATCGGACGTTTTGGTTTGATGCCGGTTAGGACGAAAGAATAGACGTTGCAGAACATAGTTTTAGCAATTTCCAAGGCTTATTGTTAAAATGGTCCCTTGTTTTAAACTTGGCCAATTTGATTCTTGTGTTTATCTCCCTTAGCTAATTAAGAACATTTCTATCCAATTTTTGTAAAAGAGTTCTATAAATTATTATAAACTTATTTATAAAATTATAATTTATTTGATTTAAAATGAAATAAAATTAAAAATTAAAAGAAAAATTATTCTCCTCTAGTCCCAACCCTCCAACCTCCTTCCTAGCATTACCCCTCCCTTTTTTATGTCACAACCTTAATCATTTGTAGATTGGAAGTTTTATTTCTTATATGTCTTATTTCTCATTGATCTGCATTCTTCTGTAAAGAGAAAGGGTAATTATTTCTCATATGATTTTTCTTATGAATTTTTTAAAAGAGATTGAATGAAATATCTATAATTGGCCAACAGATCAAACACGATGACTAAATTAGCCAAATCGAAAACATGAGGACTAAATTGACCATATGATTATAACACATGGACCATTTTGACATTTAAGCCAATTTTGAAACAACAAGGGTGTTTTAAGTATTTTCACATCAAATTTTGGTTAGAATTATAAAAAATATAATGGTTGACTAATATTCTATTCAGGACAATTTGACTATTTTTCCAAATTTCTCATTTAACAAGGCTGTGTCTTGAATGATTGTGTCATCCAGATTGAATTGCTACTCTGTCAGTTTTAGGCTCACTTGGAGAAAATACAAGGCCCAAACCCATCTCAATTCCCAACATAATTCCATCTCCTTCCACTCACCCCAATTCAAATACCATTAGTTTTAAGTTTTTTACTTATTATTGGAGATTAGGGGTTTGGCTTCAATGGTACGAGTGTTTTTACAATATATTTGATTTAAAAATATTAATTGAAGCAAAATCCTTTGACATATTCTGTAACATCCCGTCCCGGAATTATTGGAACGTACGTGTGAAATTACCATTTTACCCCTAGTTCGTTTTTATCACATTAGTGTTGTGTTGTGTGGTGTTGTAGGACCACACACACTCATACCCTCTCTTTTTCTCCCGGGATTCCCTCTCCCATTGTCTCTTCTCTGTCTCTCTCTCTCTCTCTCTCTTTCCCCGAGTTCTTCTTCTTCCTTCTTCAACATACGGACACACACACAAACATACTCAAACCTTCACGAATCAAGAAACCAAGACCACCCTCGTGCTCGTGAGGTTGAGAGGAGTTCAGAGGTGCCATTTTCAGGTAAGAACTTCGATGTTTTCACGTCAATATCGCCATGGCCGATTTGAGCACTATTCATGCAAACCTAATCTAGCAGGTTTTTGGACTTTTTAAGTTTATAGTTGTGTTTGTGAGGTTCCCAGGAGCTTGGGAGTAGTTCGTTGGACGAGTTTGGACGTCGGGAAAGCTGGGTTCAAAGTTGGCCGAGTTTTGAGCTTGAAGACAGGTATGATCGTGTGATTTTTAGCCCTTAAAACTAGCCTATCGTGATTCTACTAGTCCTAAGCTTCATTTTGGTATAAAGATCGTGAAAAATGGTTGAAAAACGAAGGAGAAAACTAAGTTTGAAATTTTCCCAGTTTTCCGGCACCGTCGCCGGCGCCGGAGTCTCGCCGGAGAAGAAAGGAGAATATTCCGTTAAGTTTAACAGAATATTCCTAACGGCAATGACGGCATCAGTTAAGTTTAACGGAATATTCCGTCAGTTTAACGGAATATTCCTGACGGCGTCAGTTGACGCCGTCAGTGTGCATGGCACGTGGCCGCGCGTGGGGGCGCGTAGGTCCGTGCCTTGGACGGCGCGTAGGGGCGCGTGCGGGGTCCAAAAATTATTTTAAAAGTATGGGTGTGATCCTGAGGTTGTGTAGAGCACGTTGGTATATTCAATTGTCCAATTTGAGCAATGTATGAGAAGTTATTACGAGAAGTTGGTTATGTGCTTTTAAATTAACGTTTTCATAGCTTTTTCGCATATAGGTGATTCGTATTCCGAGGACGAGCGTACACACTCGAGGCAGGGGGGCTACGACCCTTCCACTTATCAGTGAGTGGGCTTTTGGTTTTCCGTATATACCTATATACATTTATATTCCCAGAAATTAAATAGAAAAGGTTATTTGTTTTATGCCATGCATCATATGAATGTCGTTTACGCATCATCACATGTATTAGTAGTGGCATACATATATATATATATATATGTATGTATTTGGTGCTGTGGACGCACAGGTAAGTGCCAGGTAAGCGGTATTCATGTTGTTATGCAGTAGTAGTTTGAAATGCTTAGAGAGCTCATAATCTGCACCCCCGGTGTTAGTGCTCCCGCCCGTGGCCAGGGTACAGTCCTTCACGTGATGTTCACCCGCACCACACGCTCAGCTTGGATCCAAGTTAGGTGCATAGGCTTGTCGTACAAACCACATTAGGTGGTTCCGACTCGTAGGTGACCCGCGATTATTCGCACAGTCTTCACGTGATCGTAGCACTAGAGCGTATATA